GGGAACACAGACATGTTGTTATCAGCATTAGTCCACACCTCCTGCATTCCAGAGTGACGTATGACGTAGACACACTACTGCTGCGTCCATTGCTCTCTGTACTAAGATTGATCACCTCTCTAAGAATGCTGTTTCCCTTCATGGTACAATTAACCCTTTCCACACAGGAATTCTCTTGGCACATAGCATTACATTTTAAACATACAAACAAACTTCGAAATCTACATTACACATTTTCAAAATACAGCAACAAGAAACACTGGCTTAGGGGATCATTTAGCTAATAAGCCTAATCATCATTATCATAATATTAATAATAATCTTTATTTATATTCCACTCTATCTTCCAAAGAGGATTCAGAGAGGATTATAGAATACATGGCAAATATTCAGTGCCATTATACAATTAACAACAAAGACAGTGAGTACACAGACAGAGGCAAAAGCTTCCCTCTTTTTCATCTCCGACATCTGGAGGCTGTGCTCAACTCCCGCCATGGGGAGGTGCTCTTGTTCCATTTTCTATGCCAAGGAGCCTGTTGTCCATGGACACCTTCCTGATCGGATTGCCGGCATGTCTGCATGGGCGCCTTTTACCTCCTTGCCAAAGCGGCACCTATTATCTAGTCACATTATTGTTTTTGTTGCAACTCAAACTCAGGGTAGTTTCCACCTTGCTCTAGACACCGCCACACCAAGGCTGTAGGTTTTTGTAGTTTATTGAGAAAAGCAAAATCAAAACAAAGAAATAAAAATGCAATAGTTCCATAGGCAAAACAGAGACTTAAATGTAAAGGCAAAGTTCCCAAGATCCAAAGGCAAAAACATGAAACATAATCTCTTAGCAATGGTCAAACAAAAGTCCATGGAAAACAGTTGAAAACAAGACTGAAATCCCAGACTCAGGAAGCCAGAAGCGTGCTGCGAAAAGCCAAGGAAAATCTCCAGAAGTTAACATGGGAAGAGCAATGTTGGACTGACAACAACTGCCTGTCAGCTACACGACTAAACACCCTTTGCGAATATGAAAGCATTGCATTGACCTTGGGCACCTTTGGCTTCTCGCTTGCTGGCCAAGCGAGTGCTTCTCCAAAGCCTTAATTGCAAATGATCTTGTCTGCTAATTAATTCATTATCTGCAAGGCTATGCAACCCCTTATCTGGGTCCAGCTGGGACGGATCTTCCACCTGGTTGTGTGGGATTTCACTCTCGCTATCAGTCTCTCTAACTGCAGGAACATTCCTTTTCCCAGGGAACTGACTTGTAGTTTCTCCTTCAGCAGCCACACTATCAGCCCCGTCTGAAACAAGTACGGGAATCTGTAAACCATCAGCGTCCTCATCATCTTGCAGAAAATCAGACTCAGGAGGCCCAAACAGCTCAGCTTCAGACTCAGAGTCAAGCCATGTCACAACAGTTTTCAGACTGCTAGGTAGGCGGAAGCTAGGGTTGACAGCGGGAGCTCATCTTGATCTGCAGCTTTGAACTGCCAACTTTCCAGTCAGCAAGATTTTCTGTAGATGGTAGTTTAACCCGCTGTGCTACCATGGCCCATTCCTGATCTACAACTTATCAGTAGAAGTAGTTATACACTATACTCAAAAAAGGGTCAAAACACATGGAAGTTTTGAACTTAGAATAATTTTACGGCTAAGCAAATGGTCATGTTGTCATATTTCACCATATATACCCATATCTAGATCTATCGAACTCATAAGCTTCACAACCATAAGAACTGCAAGATTTAAAAAAATGATAAAAGCAACCTGTCAATTTTGCAATTCTGAGCTTTTGGTGAATCAATGCAAACACAGGCTTGATTACAGGTCTTGGTCTATAGGTCCTGCACATCATCTTTGCGTTGCAAAACATCTATTTAATGAAGAAGCTGAAGCAGCATTACCATATTACGCAGACACAACCAACACTAAAATCTGAGGTTCATCTCTTCCCCAAGACTTATCATTAAAATAAAGCCACTACCTCAGCATTAGAGCACTCTTGTTATCAATTTTTGAGGCCCAGAAGGCAATGCACAATACACAGTAAGAAGAAATGAAAGGCTAGATTACTGTAATATGGTTAATATGGGGCTGCCCTTGAAGACTAGGAAGCTGTAGCTAGTGCAAAATGCACTAGTATAAAAATAGCATGTAATGTCAGTCTTCAAAGAATTGCACTGGCTGCCAATATAATCTCCAGTCCAGTCTGAATCCAAAGTGTTTGTGATGACACTAAAAACCCTAAATTATTTGGGATCTCCATATTTGAGGAAGTATTTGAATTCTTATTTGAATTCATTCATTCAACACATTCATCCCCGACCCATTTTGTCCACAGCTGTGCCACAAGGCTGTGAATGTGTGTAAATATCAGAGTACAAAAATACTTCTAAGGACCACAAACAGAACTACAACAACACCTCCAAATCCCTTGCATCAAATTAATTGATTTTATTTATTTCCTTACATCCTGCCTTTCTCCCAATACTGAGACTCTAGGCAACAAACAATAAAGGTAATATCATAAAAAGAATATGAACACATTAAATTATTAAGATAAAATAATAGTAATAATGACATAATAAAAACATAATAATAATAATAATAATAATAATAATAATAATAATAATTCATATCCTGTCTATGTCTACTCATAAATAAAATAATACGATAAATTGGCTGCCATTGGAGACAGTAAATATTGAAGTTCCGATTATTTATTTATTTATTTAGCATCTCTAATATTTGTACCCCGGAAATATTTCAAATATTTCTCTACCCTTGAAGGGGGACTTTTGTAGTAATCCCCTTAAAACAGAGTTCATGAGTCTATTTCCTCCCTTCCACCCTTTCCTCACTCCTTTCCTCCCTCTCTTTTTCTTCCTTCCTTCCTTCCTTCCTTCCTTCCTTCCTTCCTTCCTTCCTTCCTTCCTTCCTTCCCTTCCTTCTTCCCCTTCTACCATCAACACTCTAGGCCAACACTCCATATATCAAGCTCTGGAGTCAATAGGGAGATGTCGCTTCTGAGGAGCTATCACCTTTGCAAAGGAGAAAGGTTGTGGCAACGATGTGCCCGTTTCCACTTGCCTTCCTTCCTCTCCTCTCTCCCAGTAGGCCAGGGCTACTGAGAGAGAGGAGAGGAAGGAAGGCAAGTGCACAAGAGAGGGGAAAAGGAAGGAAGGAAAGTGCAGGAGAGAAGGGAAGAGGAAGGAAGACAAGTGCATGAGAGAGGGGAAGAGGAAGGAAGGAAAGTGCGAGAAGAGAGGGGAAGAAGATGGAAAGCACAAGAGAGGGGAAGAGGAAGAAAGGCAAAAGAAAGAGGGAGAGAGGAAGGAAGGCGAGTATGCGAGAGAGGGGGAGAGAAAGGAAGGCGAGCATGCGAGAGAGGGGAAGAGGAAGGAAGGTAAGAGCATAAGAGAGGGGAATAGGAAGGATGGGAAGTGTGCAAGAAAAGGGAAGAGGAAGGAAGACCACGCGAGAGAGGGGAAGAGGAAGGAAGGCAAGGGCGAGAGAGAGGGGAAGAGGAAAGAAGGTGAGCATGTGAGAGAGGGGGAAAGGAAGGAAGGCGAGCATGTGTGAGGGGACAAGGAAGGAAGGCAAGAGCATAAGAGAGGGGAAGAGGAAGGATGGGAAGTGTGCGAGAAAAGGAAAGAGGAATGACGACGAGCATGCGAGAGAGGGGAAGAGGAAGGAAGGCAAGGGCGAGAGAGAGGGGAAGAGGAAGAAAGGCAGAAGAAAGAGGGGGAGAGGAAGGAAGATGAGCATGCAGGAGAGGGGAAGAGGAAGGAAGGCAAGTGTGAGAGAGAGGGGAAGAGGAAGGAAGACGAGTGCATGAGAAAAGGGAAGAGGAAGGAAGACAAGCAAAAGAAAGAGGGGAGGAGGAAGGAAGGCAAGCAGACGAGAGAGAGGAAAAGGAAGAAAGGCACAACAGAGGGAGAGAGGAAAGAAAGCAAGCACACAAGAGAGGGGAACAGGAAAGAAGGCAAGTGTGTGAGAGAGGGGTAGAGGAAGGAAGGCAAGTGTGTGAGAGAAAGGAAGAGGAAGAATGGCACAACACAGGGGGAGAGGAAGGCAAACGTGAGAGGGGGAGAGGAAGGAAGGCAAGCATCAAGAGAGGGGAAGAGGAAGGCAGCCGTGCAAGAGAGGATAGAGCTGGGTTGTTGTACGGAGAGGGGAGGGTCCTGGCGAGAAGGTGTGGGGCTGAAGGCATGGGGCCTTCTCAACAGGACCCTCCCCTCTCTGCACAGCAACCAGCTCTCTCCACTTTCGAATGGTTGCCTTCTTCTTCCCCTCTCTTGCATGCCTTCCTTCCTTCCTCTCTCCTCCTGCCTTCCTGCCATGTCTCTCACTCAAGTATAAGCCGAGGGGGCCTTTTTCAGCCCTTAACATGGGCTGAAAAGCTTGGTTTATACTCAAGTATATACGGTATACAAATCACACACACAACTCTTAGTGCAGGGCTTCCCTCTGAGTTATTTCCTCCATAGAAAGGCTCCCAATTTTCAGCAATGATCCCCAGCCTACAGGCCATAATAAGAAGGCACAGCACCAGTAGCCTCCCAATTGGCACCAATTACTTTCCCCAAAGACTGCATCCATCCATCCACCCACCCACCTGCCGCCAGAAGAACAAATTTGCTTCCAAGTCTGAATGCATCCCCTTCCAATGAGATGACATTTGAGCCTGCCCTAAAAACCGGTTGTCACATCGGAAACAGTCATATTTTATGCCCTGGAGAAAAAACAGAGACATACACTGGAGTAACCTCTTGGGCTGCGGTTGGAAACGTTGATATTCGGAAAGATGTAGGGGAAGAGGAAAGCCATGCTTAACACTGCACATTTTCAGCGCTTGATACAAAAATATAGCTAAACACCACAGAGTTTTGTTTTGGATTGTCGCAACCGACATGGACAATATACAACAAGTTTTTGGTTCTTGGAAATAATAAATCAATAGCTTAATTTTTCATTTTGTAAGTGTAGATGAACCTTACCTGGCATCCCCTTTCGAAAGGTTGGAGTTCACCGGGTTGAGAATCACTTTGTTTGCATCCACGTCCACCACGCATTTTGTATGCAGGTCTATTTCTGTTAGGGAAAATAAATTGGGGACGGAAGGACAAAGGGTAAGAACATCATAACATTGAAGTATTCCATGACCCAACTTTGCCAATTCATGCTATTGCTCTCTCATAGCATCCTAATTGCACATCCCACAGTCTCCAGCTTCCAACTGGGTAAAGCATTATGAGCTTATTATTATCCCAACTAGTGGTCCCCTGCCACGCGTTGCTGTGGCCCAGTATGTTGATCTGGAAAATAAAGTAATAAGAAAGTGTTGGTTTCTAATATATGTAATGTCTTGATGCTTGTGGGTAAACAGTATGTCTTGTTGTTTCGTTGTCAGTGTTGATGTGGAGAGTGTCTGGTTTGCCTACTCATGCAACATAGAATTGTCCTTCTTTAGGGGTCACTTTCAAATCTATGATACTATATCTCTCTGTGTGTGAATAATATCTATCTATATCTATGGCTGGATGGCTCTTTGTCAGGAGAGCTTTGATTACGTTTTCTTGCCCTGGTGAAAGGAGTTGGACTCGTTGGCCTTAAGTATTTTCTGTTGGTCGTGGGGGTTCTGTGTGGGAAGTTTGCCCCGATTCTGTTGTTCGTGGGGTTCAGAATGCTCTTTGATTGTAGGTGAACTATGAATCCCAGTGACTACAAATACCAAATGTCAAGGTCTATTTCTTCCAAACTCCATCTGTGTTCATATTTGGGCGTATTGAGTGCTTGTGCCAAGTTTGGTCCGGATCCATCATTGTTTGAGTCCACAATGCTCTCTGGATGTAGGTGAACTACAACTTGCAAACTCAAGGTCAATGCCCACCAAACCCTTCCAGTATTTTCTGTTGGTCATGGGAGTTCTGTGTGCCAAGTTTGGTTCAATTCCATCATTGGTGGAGTTCAGCATGCTCTTTGATTGTAGGTGAACTATAAATCCCAGCAACTACAACTCCCAAATGACAAAATCATAATTTTTTGAGTGATGGTCACTGCATGTGTTGTGAGATGTTTTGTTGCCAAATTTGGTGTGATTTCGTTCATTGGTTCTTTTGTTTTTAAGGTACTCATTATGCACAGAGCATTTATATATATATATAGATTGCTTCTCTAAGGATTTGTCTTCATTGTACATTGACATCATTCAACAGCCATGGCTCAATGCTATGGAATCTTGGGAGCTGTAGTTTTGCCATGATTGTACTACTCTCAGCCAAAGAGTGTTGCTGCATCACCAAAATACAACACCCAAGATCCCATAGCAGCTAAAGTGGTGTTGAATGCATTAATTCTACATCAAACAGCGTAGATGCACCCATAGTTGAATGTCTTTGGAATTGGGTTGTTGTAGGTTTTTTCGGGCTGTATGTCCATGTTCTAGAAGCATTTTCTCCTGACGTTTCGCCTGCATCTATGGCAAGCATCTCAGAGGTAGCGAGTCTTTGGAATAGCTAATCAGAAAATGTATTTAAATGATTGAGCATTAAGAAATTGTTGTCCAGCCCTTCCAAAAACAATAAAGGTTGCTACAAATCAATCTATGTGCAACTACATGAGATTGAGCTACACTGAAGATGAGGAAGGTACTTCCACATTATGTTGTTATGCATCACCTTATTTACAATCAGTGATAATACCATGCAACAAAATTTGAAAACTGTCTAACATAAGGGTCATCCATTATTTCAGGTTCAGAAAGCATGTCCTTTGTAGGTTGACAGTTTGAAGTCACGGGTCGGGGTGAGCTCTCACTGTCAGCTCTAGCTTTTGCCTACCTAGCAGATAGAAAACATGTAATGTGAGTAGATCAATGAGTACCGGAAGATAAAAGGGTGCCCCATGCAAATACACCAGCAAAACATGGGTCTATGGACAATTATTTATTTAGTTAGAGCTTTTATGTACCTCTAGAGAGGGACTCAGGCCGGTTTACAACATGATTCAAAAATAGTAGTTTAAAACATCACACCATAAAACACATTAATACATAAAATACATTAAAAGCAATCATATACATAAACAGAGTCCTCGGCATGAAAAATGGAACATGAGCACCTCCCCATGGTCAGAATTGAGCATCACCTCCAGACGCCGGAGATGGAAAGGGAAGCCTTTGCTTTTGTTTGTGTATTGTATGTCATTATTATATAAAAGGCATTCAATGTTTGCCTATATATGTGTATGCTGCAATCCACTCTGAGTCCACTCAAAGTGATAGACTGGAATATAAATAATGTGTATTATTATTATTATTATTGGTCTTTTTGTGATTTATTTTTTATTATTGAATCTTTTATATTATTTATCTGTATTGTTTCTATTTCTGGAATTGAATGTTTGCCTTTTATGTTTTAAGCCACCCTGAGTCCGCATGGGGAGGTGGGGTGGGATAGAAATTAAGTTTGATTGATAATCTCTGTTCTGTGCATTTTAATATGCATTTTATAGAAATACGTGTTAATATGTATCTTTTCTACAAATACATTTTAATATGTGTATTTATAGAATTTACATAATATTTATGTGTTTGAATTATGCTGTAACCCGTCTTGAACCATGAGGGGAGGCCGATAAGAAATAAAATAATAATAATAATCTCAGTCATCCCTATAAATTCACCTTGTAAACAGGGGGACCTATACTATTTAGTAAAAAACCCTCTATATTCACCACCTCAGCCACCTTGGGGAAAATACAGGATAGAAATAAAAGGATGATGATGATGATGATGATGATGATGATACAACAACAACAACAACAACAACAACAGACTCTGTAAGGAAGCAGATTAAACAATAGATCACATCTTCGGCTGCTGCAAGAAGATCGAGCAGACAGACTACAAGCAGAGGCACAACACCGTTGCTCAGATGATTCATTGGAACCTGTGCCACAAATACCATCTGCCTGTCACAAAGAACTGGTGGGATTACAACCCTGAAAAGGTTATGGAAAATGAACACATCAAACTAGTCTGGGACTTCCAAATGCAGACTGACAAGAGTTTTGGAGCACTCCTGACCTCACGATAGTGTTAAAAAACCAAGTATGGATTGTTGATGTTGCAATCCCAGGCGACAGCAGTATTGAAGAGAAACAACTGGAAAAGCTGCCACGACATGAGGATTTAAAGATCGAACTACAAAGACTCTGGCACAAACCAGTAAAGGTGGTCCCAGTGGTGATTGGCACACTGGGTGCAGTGCCTAATGACCTTGGCCTGCACTTAAACACAATCGGCGCTGACAAAATTACCCTCTGTCATCTGCAAAAGGCCACCCTACTGGAATCTGCACGCATTATTCGCCGATACATCACATAGTCCTAGACACTTGGGAAGTGTCCGACATGTGATCCAGTACAACAACCAGCATAGTGATCCTGCTTGCTGTGGACTAATCCTGTTGTGTATCAAATAATAATAATAATAATAATCATCATCATCATCATTTCAAACCCTGTAAATTCACCTTATAAACAGGGGGACCTATATTATTTATTATCAACCCCTTTATATTCACCACCTCAGCCACCTTGAGTCCCTATCAGAAGAAACGTGGGATAGAAATGAGAATAATGATGATGATGATATAATGATGAATAATGATGATGATGATTGTATAAATATGTGAAAGGAAGCCACAGGGAGGAGGGAGCAAGCTTGTTTTCTGCTTCCTTGGAGACTAGGACGTGGAACAATGGCTTCAAACTACAAGAGAGGAGATTCCATCTGAACATGAGGAAGAACTTCCTGACTGTGAGAGCCGTTCAGCAGTGGAACTCTCTGCCCCGCAGTTTGGTAGAGGCTCCTTCTTTGGAAGCTTTTAAACAGAGGCTGGATGGCCATCTGTCAGGGGTGATTTGAATGTAATATTCCTGCTTCTTGGCAGAATGGGGTTGGACTGGATGGCCCATGAGGTTTCTTCCAACTCTTTGATTCTATGATTCTATGATGATGATGATGATGATGATGATGATGATGATGATAATAATAATATTTCTAAATCCAGAAATACTTTTCCAGCCATGTCTGGATTGAATTGCGGAGGGGTTTTAGGAGAGCCTATTTAGTCCCCAAAGTATCTCATGGAGAGGATGCTGTCTGCAAATCCAGCCAAGGTTGCCTATTTCTGCAGTGAGTCGCAATGTGAGAGTGCCACCTCCTTCATTAGTAAGCTGATAGTGGCTTCAAATCCCAATTAGCGGCAGATGGGAAGGGGGAGCGAAAGGTGCTTTTCCTGCACCAATGAATATCCAGGTGACCAGGTTATGGACAGCTCAGCACCTTTCCTGCGCTCCCTCCTCCCCGCCTGTGTCCCTGGGGCTCTGTGTCACCCTGGATTTGTCTGCATGAGCGGCGCACTGTCGCCTGCGTAAGAAAACATAAGAGATGCATGGACCCACTTGAAAGCTGAAACCGCTTCCATAGGAACTGCAGTTGGGGATGAGAATCAGGAGAGTGGAATTGTCTGAGTTTAGGGAACAAAATGTGCAGAGAATGAGGGCTACTGAAAATTCATGCTTATGATCAATTCGTATCACGTCTCTTTTCTCTTTGGATAGGTTTGCACTGCGTATTCAGCCCTCAGAAATGCATCCTGTGTTAGTTGGGGGTTAGGAATTGTGGGAGTTGAAGTCCAAAACACCTGGAAGGCCCAAGTTTGCCCATGAATGGTATATAATGCGACGTGAGCTTCAATGGATTTGGGTGTCCACAGGGAGTCCTGGAAGCAAACTGAAGCCAACGATATGCATACCTATGTGCGCTAGGAAAGTGAGTATAGTGTGTTAGTTTTCACATTGGACTAAACCTTCTGGATAGTGAAGGCTCAAGAGTGGCAGGTTTTTAATTTTGCATATTTCCCAAGTACTTGCAAAGAGACTGCAAATTCCTATCCCCATTTCACTATGCTGTATCCCCAATGCCAGAAATACAGCTTAATGGTGTAACATTAGAAAATGTTGACATTTCTGCTATCTTGGCAGCCATCTCTCCACCAAAGTCAACATCGACACTGAAATACAAC